ATTTTGGAGGACCCGGAATTCCCAGGGATTGGAGGGTCTGGAATTCCCAAATTCCCAAGGATTGGAGGATCTGGAATTCCCAAGGAATTAAAGGATCTGGAATTCCCAAGGAATTGAAGGATCTGGAATTCCCAAGGAATTAAAGGATCTGGAATTCCCAAGGAATTGGAAGATCTGGAATTCCCAAGGAATTGGAGGAGCCACAATTCCCAAGGAATCGGAGGGTCTGGAATTTTGGAGGACCCGGAATTCCCAGGGATCGGAGGACCTGGAATTCGGGAAGAGCTGCAATTCCCAAGGACTGGAAGAGCTGGAATTCCCAAATTCCAAAGGAATTGGAGGGTCTGGAATTCCCAAGGAATTGAAGGATCTGGAATTCCCAAGGATTCCCAAGGAATTGGAGGGTCTGGAATTCCCAAATTCCCAAGGAATTGGAGGGTCTGGAATTCCCAAGGACTGGAAGAGCTGGAATTCCCAAATTCCCAAGGAATCGGAGGATCTGGAATTTTGGAGGATGCGGAATTCCCAGGGATCGAGGGACCCGGAATTCCCAAGGAATTGAAGGATCTGGAATTCCCAAGGACTGCAAGAGCTGGAATTCCCAAATTCCCAAGGAAACAGAGGATCTGGAATTCCCAAGGAATTGGAGGATCTGGAATTTTGGAGGAGCCAGAATTCCCAGGGATTGGAGGATCCGGAATTCCCAAATTCCCAAGGAATTGGAGGGTCTGGAATTCCCAAGGACTGGAAGAGTTGGAATTCCCAAATTCCCAAGGATTTAAGGACCCAGAATTCCCAAGGAATTGAAGGATCTGAATTCCCAAGGATTGGAGGATCTGGAATTTTGGAAGATCTGGAATTCCCAAGGACTGGAAGATCTGGAATTCCCAAATTCCCAAGGAATCGGATGATCTGGAATTTTGGAGGATGCGGAATTCCCAGGGATCGAAGGACCCGGAATTCCCAAGGAATCGGAGGATCTGGAATTTTGGAGGATCTGGAATTCCCAAGGAATTGAAGGACCCAGAATTCCCAAGGAATCGGAGGGTCTGGAATTTTGGAGGACCCGGAATTCCCAGGGATTGGAGGACCTGGAATTCGGGAAGAGCTGCAATTCCCAAGGACTGGAAGAGCTGGAATTCCCAAATTCCAAAGGAATTGGAGGGTCTGGAATTCCCAAGGAATTGAAGGATCTGGAATTCCCAAGGATTCCCAAGGAATTGGAGGGTCTGGAATTCCCAAATTCCCAAGGAATTGGAGGGTCTGGAATTCCCAAGGACTGGAAGAGCTGAAATTCCCAAATTCCCAAGGAAACAGAGGATCTGGAATTTTGGAGGATGCGGAATTCCCAGGGGATCGAAGGACCCGGAATTCCGGAAGAGCCGCAATTCCTGAGGACCGGGAACACCCGTCCGGAATTCCCTTCCCCTCCCAAAAATCCCACCCCAAATTCCATAAAAACCCTCCCGGAAAAAAAAGGCGGGGCCGTTCAGCGTCCTTTATTTGGGAACA